AGGCAGATGTTGATTGAGAGCTTCAGCAATTACTGGAACGACTTTCTGTACAATAACGATCCCACCGAGCGGCCGGAGATCCTTAAGAAGCGAATAGGGTTATTCCAGTGCAGCAAGATCGCGGTGATAGTACTGGTCTGCACCATGAAGGAGCTGGCCAGGTATTTCATTTGTTCCCTCGACATTGGAGCGTGATCGTTTCTCCCTCTTTCTCTCTCTCTTTCCCTTTCTTTATTTGACAATTTGTCTTGTTAAAACATATTTTATAATATTTTATATAAGATATTTCATTTGTATAAAGTCTCTTCTTTTCTACGAAGAAATAATGTTTCAATCAAATATTTTGACTCAAATCAAATATTCTTGTATAAAGGGATACGCTTCCGTGAGTAAATAGATAAATAAAAATACGTCAAATGAAATATTAAATAATTTGTCTTCGTAAGAAATAAAAGGCATAAAAGAAATCATGTTCAAGCAAGCTCGAGTCTCTTATGTAACAAACAGAAGAACGTAGAAACGATCGCTTACGTGTTCGGAAAAATAGATGCTCGAGAGTAAACGTAAGCGATTGACGTCACGCCATCGCTCGGAACTTCGGACGGTAACTCGCCTTGAAACGTTTCTCCAGACAATGCCGAAAGTCAGAGGGGCTGAAGCTCCTGGAAGTCCTGTCGATTGTGCGGCGCGAGTCGGGCAAGCGGAACTTCCATCCCCGGATGGTGCTGGACTCCGCCGCGAAAACCTTCAACCCGGTCGACATATTTTACATGTTCGTCGCGTGGTCCTGGTACATCACGATCACGTCGTTGCTGAAGACGCCCGTGCTGCTGCTGCGTGAACTGCGAGCTCTGAATTCGCAACGCAAGCACTGCTACCCGGAGACCTTGACCTACACCTTATGGTGCTACCTGCCTCTGACGTTCCAAGCGATCCGGGAGGCGGTGTCCATCAGTTGGATAGCCGTGACGGCGCCCAAGGTTGTCCTCGAGGAGCTATTTCTGAAGCACCCGCAGTCGAACCGGCTGCAGACCATCTCGCCCTGCGGCAGGAAGGTGGTGGCCTGGTCAGAGGAAGTCGACGTCGAGTTTGTACGCAAGATCGCCAACGTGGCCGGCGTGACCGAGGCGGAGATCCTGTTGACGGCCACCGTGGACGCCCTGAGGGAGTACTTCAGGCACTCGACCACCAGCATACCGAACGACGTGTTCGCGACAGTGAAGTTCGTCAGTCAGCGAGAGATCTTCCTGCGGAACCACGAGGCTCGAGGTATCCTGTGCCTCGCGTTACCCACCCGGACGCCATTGTTCAACGACGATCTCATCGAGATACTGCAGGTGAGAATAAGAGCCGGGTGGTCGCAACTAGTTATCATTTTTCATCTCCTAACTATAATTTTTTTGGTTTAACCATCGGCTAACTTACTTATTTGGCCATTATCTAGCTACTAGGAGAAGCGAATGTTACATTGCTGACGTCAGTAGTGACGTTAGACACAAATTTATTACCTCGTGGTTAGACACCCTTATGGAAAAAAATTAGTCTTAAATCAAGAATAGATATTCTCATATATAAGTAAGAATATTGTAATCTTCTTAGAGAACTTTCAGTCTTGATTTGATTAAATTTGTATCGATGCAAATATTATTACTTGAACTTAGTGAAAATCTTCTAAGAAGATCGTAATATTCTTGCTTTTATATGAAAATATCTATTTTTTATTTGAGACTAATTTTCTTCCGTGCACGAGGTTCAACTAGGATAGTGTCAGCGGACGCCGAAAAGTTATTATCTACCACTGCTCCTTAGATTATCCAACGGAACGTCCAGGACGCCAGGTCCAGGCAAAGCGCGATCTACGCCATCACAGCGGCGGAGACGTCCCACGGACTGATCTCCTCCTGTGTGCCCTCCATCCTCTTAAAGCTGCTGCTAAACCAACTCTCCAGAAAATATTCTCTTTGCTTGACGCACGTAGACGGGGATTTGCCCGTCGAGGGAGTAGATACTGCGGTCTATTGGCGACCACCGCAGGGAAATTGCAGTACGCATCGATTATTGGATACATCTCTGCGGTCGTTGTGAACGAAATGGCCGATGTTTATGGCTCGTAAAAGTACAAAACTCTAAATGCATATATATATATATATTTATTTATTTATTTATTTATTTTACTTTTTATTAATTTCGTATACTTTCAACAATATTTCCATCAGGGCAGTTGCAAAATAAACGTTCTGCTGAAACGTGCTTCATTGATATCGGTGGATTTTAATAGCTCACAACTCAAACTATTGTTAGCTCGCCACTTATGCATTGATTTTCGACTCTAAACTTCAGATTACTCTTGCCGTACGAGCTTGCTTGTACGATAACTGGAACACCCTGTGTATGTGTGCGTGTTATATATGCGTATATGTATACAGGCGCGCATATATGCCCACATACACACACGCACACACACATAATAATTATATTAGTTTTATTTTGTATCTCCGCATTTTTCGCGCTCGATACCGCGAATACTAACGTTGTAAATACGTGCATCGAATTTTCGTATCAGGCTTAAATATTGTGGCGACCCTCGTTCTTTCTTCTTTTATACGCATGCTTGTTGTGTTTTCACACAGTTATTTAAAGACTTTACACGAATTATAACGATATTGAGCATGCTAATTCATCTACATTTTACAGATTTGTCCTTATTACAAATGATCGTCGCGCACAATGCTACGGGATTTCAGTTACGCTTCGTTCACAATTTTGATTCTTTGCGATCTCTGTGAAATTCGGTGTATAAATCCCAATAAAGGAGGGAGAAGGAAAGATGCTTGTCCTTCTGTTTGATCTCCCAAAACTCTTATTATGCACGTTGCGCATACACGCTGCGATATGCTCGTAGCATTCGTGGACTCGGGAAATGTCGTCTTGAAATATATACGTCGATATACACACAGTTATGTGAAAATGATTCGTATAAATCCGAGGTTCTTAACCCTTTATGTGCTACGTGGACTCCCTTGGCAACTTGACGAAGGCTCGCGAAGCCTTCATCGCCGGAAAAAGAAATTATGATGTAGTAATATAAGTGCTTCTTTATTAACCCATTAAATATCAACATACATTTAAAATATACGCAAGCTTAAGTTACAATGTGAAGATATAATCCTTTCCTCTCGTTTCTCTCAAGTTCACGGGTCGTGTCTGCGATCTCATGACGGAGCTTTCGGGAATTTACGCAGCCCGGGTTAAGAACCCCTCTAGTATAAATAAACATAAATGTGTGTATGTATGTGTGTGTAGTTACATTATTTTGGTATCGGGCATGATGTATTACTAATTCGGGGGGCAACACAGGGCAACGTATTTGATGCTAGAGCTATGCACCAGGTATTATTCGTTCTTCTTCATCAGTTCGTGCGTCGGGCGGTCCTTAACGGCTACCTGTTGATTCTTATTTTCCGCGAGTTGCGCTTCCATCTCGCCCGAGAAACCGAATTCGTTCACCCTGGTGTGGTCGGTCTTGTATATCCATCTTTGGTACAAAAATATGAAGAAAACGATGTCGTCACGGAAGCAACCGATCCTGTACAGGGTCGGCATCTTTATCACAAATGCAAAGATATCGTCGACGAACGTGTTGAGGAATTTGTAGGACAGCATACGCCACGGAAGATGCGCGACGCTCTTCAGTTTGTAGTTGATGAACAGCTGCGGCGTCATCATGATGAAGCCGAAAGTCAGCAGGAACCCATACAGCATGTTGAGAATCCAGGAGTACCAGCCTTTGTGCTCCAAGTACATGAGCGAGTAGATAGCGTATCCTCCTAGCAGCGGGTATAAGGCCCATGATAGGTACTTGAAGGCGAGCCTGTCGTACTCCTTCGTGGAAGACTCCACGTATGAGCCTTTGTCTTGGAATGATATCTTCGGGAAGATCCCGAGTACCTTCACCTCCCGGTTAACGTTGATGTCGATGACCTTGTTGATCTTCCACACTTCAATACACAAGCCTATCGCGCAACTGATGCGCACCACCGTGTTTGTCTCGTTGTCTAGAACGTAAAGTAGAACAACGAGAGACTGGAATACATTGAAAAATACAGAGCGCACAGACAGACCCTCCAAGGACTTCCGGTTGTTCCAAAATTGAATATCTGTGTGAAAGAAGAAGAATATAAATGAGAAAAAAAAGAAATATCTACTCGGAAAATATTACGAAGGCTCGTGTGTGATGTCTACTTGAACATGTGTTAGACAGATTTTTATGCTTACCATTTTTAAATGCTAAAAATTCAAATACACTATGCAGAATTGACACAATTATGGTCAATCCTAGTAGATATGGGTTTGTCTCGAGTAAAGTCTCCTTCAAAGTATCTTGATCATTATCATCTTCACCAGCTACATCTCCTAAATGAATAATAATAGCAATAATAATAATAATTAATTAATGAAAACTTAAAATCAACAGCAGAATTCTACGTTTTAAATTGTATAAATGTGCACATACGCACATGCGTAGGAAGAAGCGCGCATGCAAATACTTTTTTTAAATGTAACAAACCCATAAACGATGACGTCCATTTATTTCTAACAGATTGAGCTGCATAAATTTGCCATTTGAACAATGAAAGTGGCTGATAAGTCAATCTGAGTTCTAACTGCTCTACAGTATTATTCAACGGTTGATAATCCCTTTGCATATTCCAAAAATCATTCATATATATTATTGGCTTATATGAATTCCCACCAGGTAAAAAATATATATCTAAAGAAGAAAAATATTTTCAATACTTCATTGTGAAAATAGTACTTCATTTAAAGACGTTATAGATATTCAATAGTCTGCCATATTTAAGGTCATGCCAAGGTTGCCATAGACCTCAAAAACAGGAAAAAATAATGGAAATTTAAATTGGTCAGGTGAAACCTGAAAAAGTCAGGGAAAGATGTAAAAAGGTTGTGATTTTTAACATCGCTCATAATTCCCTTAAATGCTCTTATCTAAAGGGAATTTTTAATTCTTAGATGGCTCTTATTAAGAGCCATCTTTTTTAATATTACATATACATATATATATATATATATATATATATATATATATGTATATATAATATTTATAATGAAAACGTTTAAAACTCGTGCATTTTACAAATCTTTTTTACATGTTAGGGCTATGGCACATAGCCAAACTTAACCAGTAAAACAGAAGCAGTAAAAAAAATAACTAATCAGTTGATTATTCCTTGACTGTAAGGAGAATAATAAAAAATGATTGGTCAATTTTATTCAGCGTTTTTATTCAATCACTTTTTTCTCTTATAACTGCATTCTTTTCTTCAATATGCATTTATTTTTTGTTGATCTAAATTTGCATTCAAGATTATATTACGTTACCAAACATTTCTAAGTTTATTTTGCTCTAATAATATAAACTACCTATCCTGCAATCCCTGTTTCAAAACGTTAAAATTTAAAATTATATATTGATCGTGGGAAATTCTCCGCTATCGTTTAGAAAACATAGAAAAGTCAGGGAATTTCAAAATTCATTTTTTTGTGGCAACCTTGCATTAACGATGTTAAAGTTTCGGCCAATTATCTTACAAAAATAAGTATTGCTAATTTTAGTGTCATAATCCTATACATATTTACATAAAAAATAAATTGTAAATACGAACTTACATTCATCCAGTGGCTGTGGTACTTGACCATATACCCAATTGGTTTGATCAACCACCAAATTAACAGTCAAATTTGGATGCCAGTGTGAGACATACTCTTGATCCATCAGCTCAGCTTTCTGCAAAAGATGTTACACATTCAGAGAATACGCTTGTTATATGACGGAGCAACTTTAAAAGTTAAATAATACACACCTCCAATTCCTCTTTGCTAGCTGTGGTTTCACCAGTTAATAAATTATGCCTTTTCTGATATTTGATTCTCTTAAATTTATTCAACATTTTTTTCGTATAAGACATATAGTCACCAGCGTAGACTCCCTTACCAACCTTAGGATTTGGTGATTTGCCACTTTTCGTTATATATATGTGAAGATAGATAGAGCCATTCATTTTCAATCTTTCTGAGGGAATAAACGAATATTCGAGAACTCTGGAGCCATCTTGATCTGGCCCACTATACCAATCTCCGTAAACTAATCCTTCCTCAAACCAAATCAAAGATCGCGAGTCATTGAAACTTTTAAAGTTCTCAGATTCTGACAGATAAACACTAAGATCAAATAACGTTCCGTTCGGGAATATATTTACAGCTTGTAAGCGTGTATCACTAATGGTATTGGGAGACTTGGAATTATTATCAGGACGTCTAAAGAAGCTACTAATAAAATAAATTATGAGAGCCCTTATGATTATCGACTTTGTTATGGCAAAAAATGATTCTAAGCGCGATGGCTGAGGTTTCCTTCTCTGTTCGTCATTGTCTGCATTTACCTGTAAGAAATATATCCTTCAGTTATGAGCCTTATCTTGGTATATGCACTCACATAAACATATATATCATTCATGTGTTAATTTTGCTATTTTTTTTTTTTACTTAAAATGTCACCGAACAGGTGACGTATCTTTCGTGAGTAATTTCAGACGTTAATTACAAGTGCACTATCACAAGATCTTTCATTAAAAAAGAATCACGTGTACACAGAAAAAAGTGCTGATGCAAGTAAATTTTCAACAGTAATTGTCATCATTCTTGCGGAACATTTTATTGAAGATCACACGAATATGATCAAGGCAAGACACAATTTTTACGCACATTTCTCTCGTCATTATTCTGTTCATTAGTCGGGACCAGTTCGCCGTTGGGTTGATTGTTATCCATGTTTTCAGTGACAGCTACTTCTTCGCAGTCACGATGACAAACCTCGGTAACTACCATTTTTCTTTTAGATCCCGTGTTCCTTCAGGTCTGCTCCTCCATTAAATAAACGACACGTAGCAGTGTGTAATGAACGCATTTGACAGATGTTGTTGTCGGTGGCGCTGCCCGCGGCGCAGAAAGATCGTAGGATAGATTGCTTCCAGCCAATCAAGATCAAAGCGAGTCGAGATTGAAATTAGTCGATTCGTCGAATCTAGGGTCCATTTTCTATTGCTGCACTGACTTCACTAGCCTGCGTGGCTTTTCTTTTCCTCTCTTTCTTGAGATTTGATGAGGAAAGAAAGGAAAAGAGAACTAGTGTAAAGCGGGGTCTGCAATGAGAATTGAAGCTCGAAGCCTTGAGAAATTGACCAATTACAGTTGATTATTCTCCTCACATTTGACTGTGATTAGTCAATTTCTTAAGGCTTAGAGCTTAAAGCGCCTATTATAAACTGGAACTAATAGAAAACAGATCTTTACATCAGGGAGAATTCACATTACCGGCGCGAGTTCTGATTGTATATTCTATAGATTTACATAATATATACATGTCTATATGCAGCAAATATGCACTGGCATATGTTATGTGTATACATAAGATATACATCGTGTATTTACATAATATATACATCATGTACACGTATAACATGTCAGTGCACATCTGTTGCATATAGGCAGGTATATATTATAGGCATTCATAGAATCTAATTCATTGAATCTAATATCAATTGCATCAAATCGCCGAAAAGTGATTCTTCTCCATGACAACACTCGGCCCCACGTTGCTATAGCCGTGAAACAAACACTGATGAAGCTCGAATGGGAGGTTCTCCCGCACCCAGCGTATTCTCCGGACTTTAACCCATTAAGCGATTACCATGTTCCCATCTTTGCAACACGCTCTGGAACATACATACACACTTCCATAATTACGGAGAAGTCGAAAATTAGGTTGCTGAATGGATTTGCTCAAAAGAGACCGTCCTTTCGTCGCGGAATTCGACTTCTGCCAGAAAAGTGGAAAAAAGTCATAGCTTCCGACAGCAAGTACTTTGATTGACGTATTCACACATTTTGTTATTGAAATAAATGTTCAAAAAATACAAAAAATAGCGGTTTTCAATGCAACCTTCTAATACATAGAAATCGTCATGCAGTTCATTTCGTTGCTGCATAAAAGTAATTTCTAATTTCAATAAATATTTATTCTTATTTCTATGTTCTATTATGTACAGGGCCTTAACATTTATATTGTTGACGCAACTCAAGATCGAATATTCGTTACGAACTAATTAAGAATGAGTATAATACAGATCGGAGAAAATTGACTTCGTCTGAAATTTATTTTTCTCTCAAAGATCGTGCCGAATACAGAACAGGACGATCCTATTGCGCCGCGGCAGCGCTCGGCGCAGAACTGGAGGCTTGCGCCTGTTCCTCGCGGATACGATCTTTCTTGAGTTGTCCCATGAAGGAGGCCTTGTCCGCGGCGGTTTGGAAACGGCCGTGTCCGAACTTGGAGCTGGTATCAATGAACTTCAGGTTGATCTTCTCCAACGCAGACCTCTTGGTGTGCACCAACAAAGACTGTAAAATAAATTTTAATCTTATGCAACGTCATTCGCACGCAGATGAACGTAAGTTAATGATGTATCAAGTCAGACCTATCATAATCATTATCATCGTATAATCAATATATTAATTTAGCTCTTGAAATATCATCATAAAAAAAAAAACAACGCGGCATATCGGCTCAAGATTTTACTGATATCGGTGTCCTCACCTTCCTTAGCGTAATCACGCGTTTCTTCGGACCCATACAACATCCCTTGATCATGATGAAGTCATTGTTCACTTCACCGTAGTGCGGGAAACCACCCATGGGCGTGATCGTCTTCTCGGTGAGATCGTACTCTGTCGAAGCGTTGTTCTTCACGATCTACGAAAAACGAAGATAACGTAATTATCGTTGACATCAAAAGAACAAACAATACAACTAACACGTAAATCTTCGAAGAATTCACGACATTTAGCTTTCTGTAACTTGCTTTGGAGGCCTAAAAAGCACGAATACGTCCTTTTAGGTACTATGTGCAAGTGATTTTGATCTGCCTCTTTGTCGATATTTCAAAATCAACCTTCTTGCGTGCTCGAAGATTGAAACAGGGAAAGAGGGGCTCTATATAATCGCTTCGTCGAAATAATTACCTTGCCGTCCTTGGTATGAATGCCTTGGCCGATCCTGTAGATCTTCTTGTTCATCTCGGTACGATGGTGATATCCCTTCTGACCGGCGCGGGCGACAGTGAACGACACGCGGCTAGGATGCCACGCACCGATACAAGCGACCTTCCTCAAGCCCTTGTGGGTTTTGCGCGGCAATTTCTTTGTGTGCCACCTGGACGTTACGCCTAAGTAGAAAAATGTCAATTTTCTCTTCTAAATAAAACCCACGTGCGAATAAACGGAAAACGTTTCTTTTTTTCTTTCAACATGTTAGTCTTTTCTTGTTAAGGACTTCAGTAGGAAGGCAGCATGGTATATCTTCAAGATAATCAGATAATTGCACATCATGCTATTTTCATCATACAGTCCCAAGTCTAGTTTTCTATAAGCATGCTTCTCGTTGGGAGAGGGGACAAGAGAGAGCTCGCAAGCGCGGTTCGAGGACAATGGAGGAGGGAAGGAAGGGGCTTCGAGCAGCACACACAGATATAAACACGGCGTATGAAAACACACCTTTGTAGCCCTTGCCCTTAGTAACTCCGATTACGTCGATCATTTCGTCGCGAGCGAACACGCTGCTAACAGGCACGGGTTTCTCCAGATGTTCGCGAGTCCACTGCACTTTGTCCTCGATAGTGCCGCCATTCAACTGAATCTCCATGATGTGAGCTTTCTTTTGACGCTGTCTCAACAGCTTCATCTAATTGACAACATATGGGTGATATGAAATTGTTCCATTATACGAGAAAATATAGAAACATCTATAATGAAATATCGCCGCCGTGTATATCGTTGTTACCTGAGTATGAGCGATGATGCGAACAACGCTACAATACTTCTGAATCTTCTTCAGATCCGCCTCGATGGACTTGCGGCCGAGATCGTCCTGCCATTTCTTCGACGTTTTGGTGAACGCCTTCTTCTTGCTCTTGTACCTATGGAAAATCAATTGCAATGTCCACCCACATATCCCGTTCCCTGTAATGTATCCTGTAACGTGCCAGTCTCATCGTAATGAGCGAAGACTGAACACATTTCTTGGAACAGCCGTGTTAAAACTCAAGGCTTTAATGGCCATATCCAACTGATTGCTCTCATGATGAAAGTGGAGAGCTAAGGTAACCTTGATTTTAGTATCGAACATATAAACAGTATAACTCTAATGTCAAAATAAACATGCATTGTGAACGTCAAACCACATACATATACTATTCTGCTTCATAAATTTGCATCGTAAATTTATAGGATAAATCTAAATTGCTTTTTAACTAACCAATTCTTATAGAAACGTCTGCGGCAATCCTCCGACAAATGTTCCGCCCAAACAGTGGAAAGCGCTCGAAGGCCATGCGGAGTATTAATGTATCCAACAAGACCAACCACAATCATTGGTGGTGTTTCAAGGATAGTAACTGCCTCCACAATCTCTTTCTTGTTAATCTCTAAAATGCAATTAAGCGATGATTGCCAAAGCAGCTTGTACGAAAACTAAGTACACTTATAAAGCTAGGAAGAATTGTACTAGGTATGGTTTGTCTCAGTGGTCATTGCCCAATGGACTGCAACGAGTTTATGGAATATACCTTGCTTCCATGCATTCTGCACAAAGCAGAGCACAGTGTTGCTTTTCGACACGGCAGTTGAGAATATACTGCATTGAGAGCAGCTCTCATACTGCAATCCAGGAGGATCAATACATTACTGTATCGATCAACTCTTGGATTTACATGTCGCTAGTTCATTCATTATTAGTAAAACACTACGAATGACGATAAATGCCTTAATAGTTTTAGAGCATGTAAGAAAAAAATAGATATTTTTAATAGAAAACATTTTGAAGATAATTCTAATAAAATCTCTTACATTGATATTTTGTTCAGCTCATACACTGTATCATTTACTCTCATATGAAATTTCTTTAGCAACATAAAATAGTTAATTGCTCACTTGATCCTTGACGATCCGCTTCTCTTACGATATGAGTCATACCAGCTTTATAACCAACAAAAGCAGTTAAATGCACTGGTTTGCTAGAATCATCCTTAGGGAAAGCCTTTACTTTTCCACGGTGTCTCTGGGATCTCTTCTTTGGGTAAAATCCCATTGACCCATGTCGAGGGGCACTAAATTTTCTGTGAGACTATGAAACAATGATAGAAATAGTATACACGCGACACAAACGCATTCTAACATTTTTTTTAATAAAAAAGATCAGACCGCCCTAGAATAATATCTTCATGGTTATTCAGTTAAAAACCATAAACTTTTAATCTAAATCATCATGAGTATAATAATGTGTACCATTTGTCATAAAACAATGTACAAGTCGCCACGTGAGCACGTGATGCAATATAATTTCTTCATGGTGTTCACACAAACAAAATATCTATACTACTTGCAATTTTACGTATAATATTACATTAAATACATAAAGAATATATTTAAGATCCTAATGCCTGGTTCTATCTTCATTGTTCATAAATCTAATCGACGATTAACTTGGATTAACTCAACGGAATTTAGCAACTCGATTGATCAAATACCGTGGAGTTAAATTGTCGATTAGATTCAAACTGTGATGGTGAAACTAAGCATAATTGAGATTTAAGTTTAAGATATGATGCCGATGACGAGAAATACCGTGAATTTTATTGAATTCTGAACGATTATAAAATAAGAATTACAGTACGACTTACCATGACGCTGCTACTGAAGAAAATGGAGGATTCGTGCCCGAAAGCCTCACTTATATACTGGTCATTAAGGGCTGCGTTCCAAAACCTTACTCGATGGGCAAAATTATCGACGTTTGAAAAACATCGATGTTCGCTCATTGAGGATGGTATTACATCTAGAGAAAATGTTAGGGACTCTAGAAATTCTCTATCCGACAGCCAATCGGCACATCCGACGGACTCGTCGTATAACGCATTCTCAATGAGTAAACATTGATAATGTTTCGAACGTCGATAATTTTACCTATTCCTACTCGATTTCAGAGTCCTTATTCGCTGAGTGGTTTAGGAGACACCCTCTGGGTTCCCTAGAACCAATACTGAGTAAGTGGAGTAAATTGGAGTCTCTAGTCGAATATTATGTGGTGCTTTCTATTTGGCGACACAAGTCGACACAATCATCATTTTGTCTTTGTTCCTCATTCAATGAATAACAAAGATAGGATGATGCTGCATCACCAGATAGAAAGCACCAATGATCTCTTTCTTTCTCTAATCTCAATTCAATCTCCAATATCTCGTTTGAACAGACAGGATTCCATCAAGCGACCCCACATTGAAACTAGTTGAAAAGTCGCGTTTCAAACTTCTCAAATGAACAAAACTTGTCACCCAAATTATTTGTTCTTTATTGGTTCGAATTTTTTCGAAGATTCATTCGCCAATGAAATCGTTTCAGGAACACATTAAATTTAAATTACGAGGAACGATTATGTCTCCTGTTTCCCAACAGACTACAGTGTACAACGGTGTGTCCTCTCACACTGACACGAGAACACGAGGTGTTTTCATATATTAATAATTATAAGTAACGTACTATTTATCGCTATATTCTACCGTAACAATCTATTATAATTCATTGTGCGCAAGGGGATCGCGCGTGCACTTTGAAATAAATTAAACACGATAACATCATGATAAAGAGAACACTCTCTGCTCCGCACGTATAACATAGAATATTAAAACATGCAACAAAATATTTACAAGTCCATACATCCTGTTAGTTTAGAATGCACGCTTGGTCGAGGTGACACGCGCCAAACGGATTTTCCTATACAGTAGAAGTTGTATCTAAGAACTTCGTTACAGAGAATGAACAGTATATACGATGTCCGACGGTGCGACGTCCAACAAAAACGACCTTTGTTTCTCGGTACGCTCTAACGCTAATAGTTTTGTCTCCGGAAAACAAATTCTCTCATTGGACATTGGCACATCGGTACATCGGAAACCGAGTAAATCCCTTGTCAATTGCGAATCACAAAGCACATAATTTTTTTTCTGTATTAAACGCCTAAGTTTTTCTTCATTATGTATATTAAATTTCGTTATTCCGCCTTAAGAAACTTCTTTTCTTTCCTCTTGATAGGATTCTTCTTGCAGTTGCTGTAAATATTATTGAGATCAAACGCTGCCTTCACATTGTCCTGAAAACGTCAAAGCGTGTAAATAAGAGAAGGATTTGAATTATTCAATGAAGATTAAGAGCAAATAGAATTATACTAGCATTTTGAAATGAGACTCAAATGGCACATACTATTGAGAAGAGAAATTTAATGAGTTTTCCTTTGTGATCCGCATATGGACGTCGTTCCATTTCCTTGCCATCTTTGAAGAGTATCAACGTTGGCAATTGTTTGCTGGTGCTGGCATCGCTGACACGATACTTGGTTGCTGCATCTGGATATCTGCCAACGTCTACTTTGCCAAATTTAAAGTTTTCCAACGCATACCTGCAAGGTAGTTCTCAATGTAGCAACACATACATCTTTTTGTGATCAAGGAAGAAGTCGAATTGCAAAACATTTACTCTGCAGACAGCTCGGAAAATATTGGCGCAAATGTTACACAGGCTGGATTCCATGCAGTGTAGAATGCTACTAGCCAGACCACCCTTGTGTCACGTTGTATTTCTTCCTGCAATCCATTGGCTCCATGTAGATAGACAACGTTTTCGGGACCTTGATATGTTGGCTCTGGCAACACTAATCCACACACTGTGTACAAAATGCAACATATCGTATTACTTTGGTAACAAAGTCACTTAGAAATCGATATAACTTGAGACATCTACTCACATATAAAAATAAACGCAAACAAAATGCCCATTCGCACATCCGCGTAAAACCATAGGATTAAATTCGCCACTTTGGTATACACAAAACTAGAAGTTAAGTAATTGATCATGGTTACACTACCAGTTTTCCTTGTCCTTATCATGATGACAATCATGAGAAAAAAGAGGATCTCTGTTTCCCTCTAAAATGCAAAAGATCGTTAACACAATGTTAAAGTATTATTAAACTTATTTTAATAAAATTGTACACACACACGCACACACACTAGAACACATACCCCGTCGAGCTCGCAGTCATTTTTAGCAAATATGTAATTACAGACTATAGGAATGCGCTTTGAGAAGATGTAAGAGATACTGAGGAGGATATTTATGAAGTAGTATGGCTTCAAAAGCAATCTCAGGTCTTTCTTGAAAGACATTCTCGTAGAAGGTACGAGGTACAACGTGCTACTGCGACCACGAAGATCAATGAGTTCGCGGATTGCACTGCTTCGCAGTGTAGGTCGAGTATTGTCACACAATGTTATTGTGATCTATTATAAAATATTTGTCGCCCCTCTGACAACTCTCCCCTGGAATGAACACTATCTCGTGCACATAGCAGACAAGTTCCGTCGACTATTTCGTACAATTGTGGCGATAGATTCATGCGGAAAGAGTGTCGATACACCTTGCCACGGGCTATCGGAATCATTGGCATAAAAACATGGACGAGCCTTTTAACCTGGAGTGCTTGTGATAAGCAGGGAGGGGAGAATGCAGACGTTTCGCTTCAAAGCGCCTCTGTGGGCACAAAAGTGCACCTTAAACCACATGGACAATTTGCTCTGTAGGTAATGTTGCAATTTCACAATTTTCATTTTGTTCTATGCTTTATACACACAGGGAATATCTAAGAGACATCTCGCGCCTGCTTCTAAATCGACGATTAAGATCCTCAGCAGAATGGTTGACCTATAGTTTTAAAACAATATTCCATTCCTTAAATCTTTATCTATAAATTATCATTTATTTTTTTGTATATGATTTATCATCAATCATAAACAGAACGGCTTTTTAGTTTAAGAGTCGAGAGATAAAACAGTCATTATGTGTTACTTAAAGACTTAAGGCATCAAACATTGTCTTAAACCGATAAGTCAGCCATTCTGCTAAAGGCAGGCCCTAACTCAACAAAATTGACAATCAAATTAGCCAATTACTGACCAATGTGATTGATCAATTCCATTGAGTTAATCATTGGCCGCGTTCAGCAGAACGTTTAGTTTGCAACTGTTGGAAGTTTCTTGTGCTGACATTGGATTATTCCTGTAAATCTAAACGAATAATCCAATCTCAGCTTAGAAAACTTTCAATAGTTGCAAATTAAATGTTCTGCTGAACGTGGCCATTGATTTAAGATTGAAAAGGATCCTGGAAGTTGTCCTGTTTTTACCGAAAATTCGTTAGTGCTATATTCATTACTGGCTGCATAAAATTAAAAACCCGTTTGCACAATTGCAATACGCACGTTAATGCAGACGAGGACGGTTGACTTTATTCGAGAAACGAGAGAAAGCGGCAAATTATAAAACTTTTTTTCGTCTTTCAAATAAAGTCAACAGTTCTCGTCTACATTGACATGTGTACTGTAATTGTGCAGAAGGATTTTTAATTCTGTACTGTCAGTAACCAATATAGTACTAACGAATTTTCGGTAAAATGGACGACTGCATCCCTTTAAACCATGATGGGAAAAGCAACGAAATCGGATACATCTAAATTTTAAGTAGACTTTCATTAGTTTAAGGTTTTTAACTTCATTTTCAGCGCTGCAATTAATGAAGCCTAATAAAAGAATATTTTGTATATTATCATCATTTACAATGCATTTATGTTGTTCCGGACACTTAGTGATAATATATGTTCCACTTGATTTTCTCTCAAAACAAGAATCCGTCAAACAAATCAACAATCTATGCCATTCACGTCGCGCGTACAGTACGGCGAGTAGTTGCTACACTCCACTGAGAGCAACTTCGGTCCCGAGGTTGGGGTCGCGACGTAATAAGGAAACTTGGCCATCCCGTTACACGCTGCGCCGTATTCCCCCTTTGTGTTCAACGCGATTACCCCACCGAAGAAGGTGGGATAATGCTGGGCAATTCTGTTAATAGCCGCTCGAGCGGCCACGGTCGGCGTTGCCCCATAACGCATCTCTTCCACGGCTAAGAAACTGTAAGCAAAACATTATTTCACTTGATCGTAACAGATAACGTCGAGACATTATTTATAATCTTCAGATACCGATGATGAATTCGACGATCAAATTCGAGCGTTAATTTCGACCTGATTGAAAATGAAATCAATTTCGCGCACCGATACATACCTTGGCAAAAATCGCATCATAATATCCCCGTCACCGGTGCCAGCTGCCGCGCCGGCCGCTTGATCGGCGTAAGCGCCAGCTCCCGCAATAGGAGAGTCCCCGATACGACCGGGTATCTTGTTCTTGGCGCCGTTCGTCGAAGTACCGGCTGCCATACATCCCTCTGAATCTATTGCCAGCATACCGATCGTATCGTGATTGTCCTCGCTTCCGATTAACAAGTCGTTATCGCTGTTGTTTTTCATGCTGCTTGGACGATACGGTCCGCAGCTGGTAGTAGGATCCGGCAGCACGTTCTAAAAATACCCAGAGAGTCAATAAATGATTTTTGAGAGAAATATAATTGGTCGAATAAGATCGATTTATCCAACGATCGAAACGATCTCTATCTATTCTTATATCTTTATATTCTCGCAACATGTCGTTCTTATCGATACAGTGTATATCAAGAACAATATCAAGAACAATTGATTTGATTCTATCGACTCTGTCAGCTGTTTGATAAAAAGACAGGGGAACAGAGTTTTATATTCTTACAGCTATACCTTCCAGAAATTGGGTTGACACTTCTTCTCCTTCCATTGCTGCCACATGTTCTTGGACTCATCTGTTTCTAAAGATTCTTTCTTGAATCCCATTTGCAGGGCAAAGTCTGTAGCTAAACTGCCGCCTAACAAAGAATGCTTGGTATTCTCCAACACTTTACGAGCCACTGAAATAGCGCTCTTCACATCTCTCAAGCCTCCCACTCCACCCACGTCCATTGCCACTCTGATCAAGAAATATATATTTTTCTCTCTTTATCAATCCAACCCAATATCATATCCAATGGTGTACATTCTTGTTAAGTAAAATAGCAAACACTGCCACAGGCATTATTATTTCTACTACCCATCCATGATCAAAGCATCCAACGTAGTTTCTCCAGTCTCATCTGGACTACCACCGAAACCTACAGTCTTCCTACATTGTAGCTCTTCACACAAGGAACAGCCCTCTTCTATCGCATCCAGAGCGCTTCTCTTCTGATTATGGATTACGTCCCATGCTTTGAAAATAATCGAGGATATTTCTTAATTCGCAGACTTAGAGATTCTGCCATAATGTTTATATGTTGGATTGTTTTGTAAAAACACTACTGTAAGGTATATACTGTAAAATGTATAAGTACCTTTTTCAGTAGCTTCCTTGTAATCCCAAGTAATCACTATGACAGGAAAATTGTTATTTGAGATGTTAGCATCTTGTTCGCCTATTGTCTTTGCAAACAAACAGATTTCCAACAGGAAGACTCCAACAAAACCGATGAGCTTCATCTCAACTGCAGCTTCTGACGATACTAAAGGTATTGAGTATGTTGTTGCGAACTTTGTACTGAAAAATACAAGAAGATAACTCTAGTGAAGTGGGGAAACTTATCTCTGATAAGTTGAAAATACCTGTTTGTATTTACTGACACTAATATTTCTGTTGTAGGTGGATGCGTTTGTCTCACTGTTGTCACTTGGTGTAGCGGAATTTTCCAGTCAAGACCATGATTAAAATTTTGGAGCTTTATTCATCATTTGTTTGCTTGATGAATGTTACAGGATGCGTTCGGGGAGCTCGTTATTAGCTCCCGAACGTAACCACAGTATAATTGTTAGTTGATAATATAACTGTATGTGTACGTTTATGTATTGCAATATAGTTTAAGCATTATCATAAATTATTCATAGTGCAGATGTCTATAGAAGCCGGAATACATTGCTATCGGAACAAAGCAATATGTCAAACATTGCGAAAAACCGATATTGTTTACACAACTCCACTTGAAAGCTGGAAAAGTTCAATGAGCGCTTTAGGTCGTTCAAATAACTCCCACCCACAATGCATTGCTTCGCGCACTTTGCAAATGAATAACAATGTACGAATAGGTTGCCAAATATTTGCTTCATTTTAGAATTGGTTCGATGTTATTTGCTCTATATTCAATATCATATGAGTTTAAAAAACTTTCTTTTTTAATTCTTGTGCAACATGAAGAATGTAGCTTGTTCTTTTTAGCTTCACAGTGCTGCTGAAATGTTTTCCTTTGCTAAAAAGAACAAACTTAATGAAGAATTTCAGAACGCATTTGAAATCTATCGTGTTACTGCTGCCCGTCGAAATAAACAAATACAAGATTCGAGTTTACGCAGCTGATGTGTCAAAAATTTCGCGATTATGGCCGATTTGGACGAGTACAGGGAGCGCGTACGACTAATTAGACAATATGCGCTCGACCATGACATTTCGGAAGCTCAGACCACAGAAATATTTCAAGCTTGTTTCCAACAATTAGAAGCGAAATATTCGAAAAAGCCAAGCAGACTGTTGAAACTATTGCAGCTGCCTTATTTACTCTTTGCCATTTCATTCGTGCTGATAACTTTGTACAATCAAAGATGGTTAAACGATATACTCGTAAAACTTTCCCAGAACTCCATTTATCCAGGTTTATATATCTTGCGTAAGGTGGCCGTACCTGTTATCGGTTTATATCCATCGTTATCTGGTTTGTAAATATAACTAAATATAAGTATAATTATAGCTATAATTATAGTTACATACAAGTATAACTATGTATAAGATATTGCGCAAGTTAACATTTCTATATAACAAATGTTTCAAAATATCTCTTTAGGAACAATTATATAAGAAATATCTTAAGCTGAATACATTTTATTATATTTGTCATTTTTTTCAGAGTTATATGACGAGTGGTGCTTGATAGAGAATCCATATTTTTATGTCAACGATATGGACTGTTGGGCCTGCACTGTGGTTCATTCCGTACCAGATTTGACTGGTCACAATATCAGTAGGTCTTTCAACATTGGTATACCGTACACCAGAGCTGAGAACGATACGCAAGTCAAGATGAATGATCTAGTTAATGTATATTGGAGTAACCACAATGTCTTTGATCAGGACGCCAAAAGAATCATCTCTAATAATGAATCTCTGAAGTAAGTTCTCACACGTAATTTTCATACCTGATGTTAAAGCAAAATCTTTAATTTACAGAGGGAGAATACAAATTGCACCATATTGGACATGATAAGACATGATAAATGTGCATTAAATATGTTTATTTAGAACCATACGTGACGTCATGGTTAATAGAATGGACATATATTCGACCAATTCTCTTACAACTCACGTGTCATGGAGAATAAACCGTATGAAGCCCAACAGGATATTGCGAAGGTTATTCCCGAAGCCAACCGAAGCTCCAATTTGGTGGAGTCAAGGCACAGAGAAATTTGTCTTTATCGACGAATCAAAGTCACCACCTTATTCACTGGTAGGAAAATAGAATCGTTTTTGCCATACTTCACAAAGATACAATAATTCATTTGTGCGTCAAAGAAAAAATTTTCTCTGGCTCTCAAATTTATAGTCAAAAAACTGTTGAATAAGCTAATAAGAATTAATACTGATTGTTATTTGCAATTGTAATATGGTTTTATTTCATTCATGATATAATTGATTCTTTTTTTTTTTTTCATTCATTCTATATTCAGCCCAATCCCGAATGTAGCAATACTGTGATACGATGCGCAGCCGGTGCAAGGCTGATAAAAATGATGCCGAGTTCAGAGTGCGTGCAACATTGTAGGTCTTCCACCATCTTGTTGCCTGCCGGACATACACGTGAGTAGCAACAATTGTTGCAGCGCAGGACCGATTTCTCCTCCTTTTTGTTTGCCGTCATTAATAATACGTTTTCTTTTTCCTTTACGTTTTTAAGTATGGTACAATTGGTGGTATTGGAGGCCCGTAAGTCTGCCTGCGTACAATGCTACTGCTGATCTCTTTATCGGTTATTTAACTTCGTTCTGTTAGCATCACCGATAGGAACCTTCACAATGTGCCAAAACGATGTAGCTGCCTATCGTGTGTACACATTAACGTACACACATCTGAGAGTTGCGTTTAATAAAGTTTCTTATATTATTTTCATCTGCATGTTTTCTTTTATTTCTTCTAACTCGAACATTTAATATACATTTGCGCTGCAGACGTACGAATTTCACATTGTATAGGTTTAAATCTCACAGTGTAATATCTTCTCTTGCGGTAACGCATGAATCGAAGTGAATTTTAGCGGCCTACCAAAGGAATTACCTGAGATCACTTTTCGGCGGTGATATTGTCTAAAATATAGGCGTGTTTAAATTCACAAATTCATAGGCGCGCGATAAAGTGAGCTGCGGCTTCTCACGAGCCGTCTCCTTCGCAATCTTTATCACAATTTAAATAAATTTCTTCCTAAACGATACTCGTGATCTAAGTAAAATACACGTAGAAATGAACAACGATAATATAATAAATAAGTTATGCGTAAATTGTGCTTGTGGAAATTCACTACTACCCTACCCGTACGTGCGATTCGTGCGTGCAGATGCAAATAATAATCAGGGCGGAGGAGCGAATTCGCGCTTCTCATGCCTGCCCGGTTATTTGCATTACTCGCACGGATCCCATAAACTTCCCCTAAGACTTCAATGGACAGAGTATTTCGCTCCTCCATGACGGCGTGCGATTGTCGAGGAAAGGTCTCCTCCGCTTGTGTGAGATATCGGAATGTCACGCTCGAGTCTTATCGCACCATCGGGGGCGTCCGATTCGCGCTTACTCGAACTTCTGTTTGAGCTTCTGCTTGTACAACACAGGCACCAGCGAGAGCAGCGCGAATGCGCACAGCATGATAATACTGTTCCACGACCACGCGTCGCTGGATGATGTCAGCTTATGCAGCGTCTGTCCGGCTTGTATGGCTACGAAGGAGGGCGGCGCGACCCCGAAGAAAGTACCAACGATGAAGGGCGTGATCGGCACGCCGATCACCGGACTGGCCAGATTGATGAACCAGTTCGGCAGCAACGGCGTCATCCTGAGGAACAGCATGTAGTTCAGCAGATTGTCGCGATGTTTGCTCACTATCACCGTCCACTCGTTCGCCTTCTCTGGGAAGTATCGGTACAACAGTCGCCTGCCCAACAACGAGGACAGCAGGTAGCATAGGGTGGCGCCGATCGCGCTGCATGTGCACACGAGCAGAAGCGCAACCGGGAAGCGGAACAGGAATCCCGACAGTATCGAGAGAAAGATGGAGCCGGGAATGGCGAACGTTTGCAGGCTGTTATATTATTTAAGGAATGTAACAAGTGTTCTTCATACATTTGCCCTGTTTATGCCGATCATTTGATATATATATATATATCAACTGGGAATTTTGTGCTAAAATTATCTTTGGCCCGTATTCTGAACTCTCTTTTATCGATTAAAGTGCCTTAAATATAATTTCTCAGCCACTTTTAGAGGCGCTTTTATCAATAAAAGAGAGTTAAAAATACAGGCTTTGATGAGTGTAAATATTAATATTGTAAATTGATATGCCTTTTGACTCGTATCAACTTGATACGCTATTGTTAATATTATTGAAATTAAAATGACTTGATAGAAAGTTGTTATTTAATATGTATATCTAACAGTTGATCTAAATGAGTACATAACTAAAAGATCTGAGCGTATGATATAGTCGAGGATACAAGATGTATGTGATGAATACTCCAGCTAAAACTTGGAAGTAATAGAGATCCTTGTATCGTCCTAATAACTTGCCAAGATTTTTAGCATCCTCTATATAAAGTGGCAACTTCATATGTTGTTTCTCATCTCTGTAAAATACACAAACAATCTGTTATTTATTTGTCATATTTTATATGATATTTGATACATATGAAATGTCAGTGTAGAAAAATATATATCAGACAAACATTTGAACTTACTCTTCTAATTTTGGGAAGCTCATATATACATAAAACAATGCAGTCAGTGAGACTATAAAGATCAATCCAACAGTTAACAACGCTCTCCTTGTCGAAGCCCTCTCATTGGCTGTTTCCAGTACTGATATGATATGAAATATGGGAAAATATACAACTGTGTGTTTAGTAATAGTTTAATAACGGTAGATTAAAATTAAGATTCATATTTTCAAGAAGCAAAAGCATCATATTGAAATCAAGGTTGAAAGAAGAAGAAATTGCTATACATAAAATAAAATTTTGGCAATGAAATCTATAAATCATGTGGTAGGTTATGTAAAGTAGCTGTTGCCCGTCGCGTGAAAACACGAGAGATTTTTCTCACTGATCGCGTCACTTGCGCAATTTTACACGTGTCACTGCAAAAGTGCATCGCGTCATAAACCGACGTGCATACAGAATCGCGTACCAAGTGCGTGCAGATGCATCGCTTCCTGATTTGGGTCACTCGCAAGAAACAACAATTAACGATGCTTCACCTGATCTCGTGTCAACTTGTGAGTTCATCTTTCTTTTCGCTTTTGTTATCTCTCCCATTTCTTTGGAACAATCCTCGAACGGACGCACTTCCTCGTGCACTCTTCCTACCAGTTCTGCCGTCTTCGTGCACACAAGTGCAAATCATGCAGCATTCACGAAGAAACGGCTGATGTAAATGAATTGGAAAGCTTAAGGCTGACACGAACAATATTGATAACATGTAAATCAACGGAGGTTGCGAGCTTAGCCAGCTGTGATTGGTCGGGCTCGAGGGGATTGAGGCGAGAGACTGATTGCTTGCGAACCCGATTGGCTATGCTCTTATATCTCAGTCGAAATCAAAGATATAGGTTATTCCAGTCCAATCCAATCGTTAATTATCCACTAAACAGATTCGTTCTGCTAATACAGTCCGGTTCCACCATCATAATTTAAATCCAATCGATCAATAACTTAACAAAATTGACCAATTATATTGGCCAATTAGCTAAACCGCAATCAATGCAATTCGTCAATTCCGTTGAGTTAATCGTCGTTTAGTTTTAAATTATGACGGTAAAAACGAGTATGAAAGGGACTTCCTCTATTTTCGATCAGATTAATCGACCATTAACCCGTCAGTTCCCAAATGAATTGAAACCACAAATTTCTGTTTCCTCTTAGGAAATCTCATGTTTTGGAACCTAAGGAAACCAAATTTATAGTTTTTGAAAATTTATTTATTTATTTATTTATTTATTTTTTCGCTTTTATTCAGTGTTGACAACTTTTAGTTGACAACGTTTTAGAGTCACTAGTATCTAAATTGAACACTTAGAGCTATGTTATAGGTTAGCAGTGTTATTTCGATGGTTTATAAATCAAAAATATTGTGCCACCTGGAGGGTGCATTGGGAATTAACGGGTTAATTGGCAGAATTATTAACAGTGATTTCCAGATATTGTCATCCAACGATATAACCAGAAAATGAATCATTTTGCACGTATTAGCGAAATAAAACAGGTAATCATTCAGTATTGACGATTTGAGATGCTGTTTTGTAAAGAACAGAATTTTCTTATTCATTTCAATGACAAGTTATTTTTTTATTATCTACGTTAGCGATTCTAATCGTTGATTAGCTTAAATAGACGTAACTGTTGCATTTGTCGGTTCTATTTTTGCGAACATTATGAAATGGCCCTCAAGAAAGGGAGGTCACTTTTAAAGATCTTCGATCTTTTATCCTTTTCTAATCTGTTTCACATGTGGTGTGTTTTGTACGATTTTGTCTTTTTCGAATCCTTTCCATATGTATTTTGTTGCGATTTTCAAAGGTTTCAAATATACACGCACGGTACATCCGATGCACCGGAAGTAACTTGACACGTAAAAACAATTTTAGGTTACCCTCACGCCGATATTCGATTCAATACCAGAAAAAAAACGGAATGACGACAACGGAGGTTAATCTCACTTTCGTGCCGACGACAGACCAGCTGCAGATGCCGCCCGCAGAACGGTGAAACGCGTGGAACGTGTCGAGATCATGCGCGAGGGTGATACTTTTCTGAGATATCCTGCCGCGAGGACAGGAAATGGAACGACAGATCCTGGCGTGAGTCTTAAAGAGAGAAGTCGTACTCAGGATCGGACTGAGCTAATGTAGAATCTGTTATTGTGTCTTGTTGATGTGATTCTTCTTCATATAGAAAAGTATATACTACATTCAAGTAAATATTGTTTCATATCAAAGTTTATATATTTGCAAGTATACTACAAGTTTGTCACCATCATCAAATTTACTCAAAATATATTCTGAATCCTAGTAAATTTAGTACTTCAATTAAGAATAATAAATTAAAACACTAAAATTGAAACTTTGGTTTACTTATTCAAATTAATCGAATTTAACTTTTCTTCGATAAAAAGTTTATAATATTTTGAAAAAAAGAATAACTCGGCAAAAATGATTATATATAATTATATATAAAATCATATGAATTTTATCCCTATATGTGGTTATATATATTATTATATATATCTATACGAAAAAAATTATGTTTTGTCATTTAATTAAATGTCGATATTATGTACTGTCAGAAGCACAAGTAGCCAAAAATATTTATTTTGACTATATTTGCATATAATTTGTAAACAACAGTATTTTTTCGTTATTGACATATATGATTATATATAGTCATATATGGGCAAATTT